CCCCTGAAGTTTGGCCTGCTCACTTCCTTTCCACCTGCTACCATCCACTGTTCTCCACCTCTATTCACCTTCTTCAGTTATGAGGCCTCTCAAATTCAAACCTAGCATCAGTATCCAAAAAAATACAGTCATTTGTTTATTTTGTTGCTGTTGTTGTGTACCGTCGAATTAGATCTGACTGGTCTCTCCTCCAGTAGAGCATCTGGTGGATTCGAACTGCTCACCTTCAGGATTGCAGCACAGCTTCTGCCACTAAGCAACCAAAGCTCCCTAAGTCATATTTTTTTAAAATTAGTTTTTTGGCTTTTTTTAACAAAAAACCAAACAAACGAACACTAACAACTGCAAGAGAATAGAAAAGGATTAACAGAAATGTGTCACTTTTTATTCTTTAAAAAATTAGAAGATATTGTAGGAGACACTCAAGAAATTCCATTTATGTGCTTTATGTCACTTCTATAATTTCTCTAATAAAGATAATAACAGTAATGTAAAGAGCATTCATTAGATGAAAATTATATACGCATATGGTTTCATTGAATCCCACCTGCAACCATCCAACCTAGATATTATTTCAAGGACATGAAAACAAAGATTGAGAAAAGTTAAGAGACTCAGCTCAGGTCACTCAGCTAATTATCCCACAGGGTATTTAGTGAGCTCAGATTTAGTAAGTGCTTAGAACAGTGTCTTGCCTAGTAAGCACCAAGCACTGGAAGCTCTGATAGTCTAGTGGATAAGGAGTTGTACCACCAAGCCAAGGACAGGCAGTTAGAATCCACAAGCAGCATTGTGGGAGAAAGATGAGATTTACAGGCTCTGAAAACCCACTGGAGGGTCAGTTCCCTCAGAGCCAGCTCAACAGTGATGAATAAATGTGTGATACAAGTATTTATAGAAACTTGAGAGAAAACAGCATAGCCAAGTTACAAGCTGGAGTTTTATGAATTTAAGTTTCACACAGTTTGAATTACACCACACTGCCTAGGGGTTGGAGTTCCTACATGGTGAAAATCATTAACAAAGGTCTGCCTAAACAAAGGGTTGGCAGTTCAAGTCTAACTGAAGGCACCACAGAAGAAAGGCCTGGTGACCTGCTTGTGAAAAATCACCCATTGGAAAATAATACAGAGCAAAATTATAATATTCCAGTACCTATGTAGTCATTGCTGGGTAGAGTAGAGGGACAGCGCAGGAGGGGAAGACCCTCTATGAGGTGGATTGATTCAGTGACTGGAGTAATCGGGATGGGTGTGTCAGAGGTGGTGCGGTTGGCGCAGGATAGAGCAGGGTTTAGGGCTGTTGTACATAGGGTCGCTATGAGTCGTAAACGACTCGACGGCACATAACAACAACAACATGTAGTCATTATGTGTTGGGGTTGACTCAGTTTCAACTGTTTTGGTTTTGGGTTTTGCCTAAGGGAGGTCTGGTGGGTGGTTGTGCTGCTAACCCGAGGCTGTATGGGGCAATGGGCAATCTCTTCCCATGCAATTTACAACTTCCAAAAATGCACTGGAATGTCAGCAATGAGTCCATTCCAAATAGACAGGAAGGAAGTGAAGGGAGGGAGAGAGACCTGATTGCATGGCCAGTAGCATGTTGTTGTGATGGTGTGAGAAAGAGTGAGCTGCACTGATCACCAAAATGTCTCAAGTCCACCAGCAACTCCTTAGGAAAAACACGAGTAATCGCCTCCCTTTATAATTTACAGCCTCAGAAACATGATGGAGAGTTGCTATGTATCCAACTAGACTGCACGGAGAGAGAAAGAAGGGACAGTTTGTTAAATCAGCAGGGAGCGGATAATCTCCTAGTGCCTCTTTATAAGAAAAATCCACTCCTAATTCAGAGAGCATCTCCATCAGGTTTCTGAGGCTGTAAATCCTTGTAAGGAGCCTGCCTGTCTTTCTCCACTGGAGCGGCAGCTGGTTTTGAACAGCCAATCTTTGGGTTAGCAGCCAGATACATCACAGATTACACCACTAGTGATCTTAATTTCTCTTTTAACCATCTAATATCTGCTAGGTTTCATTCTTAATTAGTATTTTCTTTCAAAAGATGTTTATGACTCAGTTTCTTTTCTATCACTGAATTCCTGTTAAAGTCTTTAAGTAATCCCTACTGTGCTCCATTATTTGGGTATGGATTATATAAACTGGATATAAATTAGATTCACTTACATCATTAGGAAAATGTCCTAATGGAAATCTCCAATCTTAGTGTCACATAGGAAAAAAAATTGCCTTAAATGACTCTAGCCAGCAAGTCTAAAGTCACTGAAGTGTTACAGAAGGAAAACGTAAGGTTTCTCACCACCACATACAGAACTACATTCTTCTTCCAACAGATCTCTATTTACTCCAGAAGGAATCTAGTCCCTGGAAGCAAAAAAAAAAAATAGTTGATGGACCTGTGATTATAGGAAACAATAATCCTGATTCAGTCATACAGAAAAATTTATCTTGGACTTTTATATATAATTATTTCATTTTCAGAATTGTGAATACATTTACATAGTTTAAAAAACTTTTCTGGGTGAAAAGCATGAAGTATAAAACCTCCCACATTTGGTCTCTCCTCCTAATTCTACTCTACATGTTCCACTCTTCCAAAATCCCCAGCCCATGCAGTAAAACTAGTTTGCTAGGAGCCAATTCAACTCATGACATGATGTGTGTGTAATGGGAGAACTTACCTGATAGAACTTTCACTGGCAGATATTTCAAAAGCAGATCTCCAAGTCTTTCTTCCAAAGTTCTCCTGGATGAACTTGAACTTCTAACCATCTGTTTGGCAACTGTGACTCCATTAACCTTTTGCACCACTGAGGGACTCCTACTCTTTCCATCAACTACTGTTGTTTGCTTTTGGAATTTCCTTTTAGAGTTTCTTTATGCATATGAAACAAATTATAAATATATTCTTTCTTTTTCTATTTTACGTAAAGGTACATTAACTGTTCTTTGCTTTTTCTTGTTAACTTAGCAATAATATTTTTATGATTTGGCTATATTGGTATAAAGAAAATGTCTTCATTTTTATAACTGTATACTATTTTGTGTACTGTCATTGTGCTATGTGTTGTTGAGTCACTGGCACCTCATGTGACCCTGTGTACAATAGCTCTAAACCCTGCCGTATCTTGAGCCAATCTCAATGTCTCTGACACACCTACCCCCATTATCCCACTGTGTCAATCCGTCTCATGCAGGATCTTCCTCTCCTGCGCTGTCCCTCCACCCTTCCAAGCATGATGTCCTTCTCCAAGGAGTGGTCCCTCCTGGAAACTGAGACGGAGCTTCAAAATCCTTGCCTCCAAGGAGCAACTTAGCTTCACCCTCTCTACAAACACACTTATTTATTCTTTTGGCAGTCCATGGTATGTTCAATACTCTTCTCCAGCACCACAACTCAAAGACATTGCTTCCTCTTCTGTCATCCTTCAATATTTTCTCTGATTCATAGCAAATCATTGCGAAGAGCATGGCCTGGATTAGGCGCACCTTAGTCTCTAGACCCACCATAATCCATCCATCTCCTATAAATGTATGTTATTTTGTTTTTTAACTTGCTGTTATAAACAATATCATAATGAATGTTATTGTTATTTTTGTGTGCTATCAAGTTGGTACCAACTCATAACTGACCCTCCAGAGAGTTTTCAGAGGCTATAAATCACATAAGTGGAGATTAACTGTGGTTCTCCTGTGGAGCCACTTGGTGGATTTGAACCACCTGGCAGTGCAACTCTTACTCACTAGGTCAGCAACACTTGTATTGCAAAGAATAGGACTTCCCTAACTTTACCATGGAGCATCTGGTAGATTTTGACACAAGAATATACATGGTGCTTGGTCACAACAATGAGGATAATTAAAATGATGCTGTTGTATGTCATGGAAGTAGATTAGAAACAGATCTCAAATAAGGTGCCAGGCTGAGAAGTAAAGCGGTGTCCTCTGCACAGTGTTTCTCAAACTCAGTGTGCGCCAAGATCACCTGGGTCTTGTAAAGTGCACATTCTGATTCAGCCAGTCTGGAGCAAGCTGGAGGGCCCACGTTTTGTTTTTTGTTTTGTTTTGAAATTTATTTTAATGAACGTTTACAGAGACTTTGGATTTTCAGTCATTCATTGTTGTACTTTTCTCCCTGCCCACTCCTCCCTCCCCCATTTGCTTTTCTTTTCAAAAGTAAAAGAAAAAATTCTTTGTTATTCAATCCCTCCACCCCCAAGTCCATTCCACTATGCTACCTTCATTCTGTACTCCTGTCATAACAATAATATCTAATCATATATCCCTTTTAAACAGTTCTCGCACTCATCTGTTTCAATGCACTATACAGTATTTATCCCATCTTTCTCAGTATCCCCGTAACCCCTTTGTCAGTCCTCTTTTATAACAGTGGCTTTATTCAGTATTTGTCTTTTTGTGACTGAGATATTTCACTCAGTATAATGTCCTCTAGGGTCACTCATTTTGTGTAATATTACATGAGTTCCTTATTTTTCAATGCTGCATAGTATTCCATTGTGTGAATATACCAGAGCTTCTCTGTCCATTCATTTGTTGATGGACACAAGGATTGTTTCCACCTCTTTGCTATTGTGAACAAAGCAAAACAAAAAACAAAAAACAAACAAAAAACATAGGTGCGCATATATATCTGTTTGGGTGGCAGTTATGAAGGAAGGGCCCACATTTTAATAAGCACTGGGGGGTACTGATGCTGCACTGCTGATCTGGAGACCACACTGAGTAGAAAGACTTTAAGACACAGCAGGAAGCCATAGGGGCAGAGATTGTTGAGTTAGGGAAGAGTTAGGATGTCGGCATGTTACTTCCACAACGTTGCAACCACAAACTGATGACGAGATCTTATAGAATCTGATTTTTAGACCTTTCCTCTATATGTTTACCTCTACTTTTCTTCACAGAGTCCGAGGTCTCTTGCCTTTAGAAATGTTTTAAACCATACTTTTTCTTTCTTTTGTACAGAGCAAGGCTAAAGAGCTGCCTCTGTCTGCTGTGCGCTTCATGGAAGAATTGGGTGAATGTGCCTTTGGAAAAATCTACAAAGGCCATCTCTATCTCCCAGGCATGGACCACGCTCAGCTGGTTGCCATCAAGACCTTGAAAGATTATAACAACCCTCAGCAATGGACAGAATTCCAACAAGAAGCCTCCCTAATGGCTGAGCTGCACCACCCCAATATTGTCTGCCTTCTGGGGGCTGTCACTCAGGAACAACCTGTGTGTATGCTTTTTGAGTACATGAACCAGGGGGATCTCCATGAATTCCTCATCATGCGATCCCCACATTCTGATGTTGGCTGTAGCAGTGATGAAGACGGGACTGTCAAATCCAGCTTGGACCATGGAGATTTTCTGCACATTGCAATCCAGATTGCCGCCGGCATGGAATACTTGTCCAGTCACTTCTTTGTCCACAAGGACCTCGCAGCTCGCAACATTTTAATTGGAGAGCAACTTCATGTGAAGATCTCAGACCTTGGGCTTTCCAGAGAGATATACTCAGCTGATTATTACAGGGTGCAAAGCAAGTCTTTGCTGCCCATTCGCTGGATGCCCCCTGAAGCCATCATGTACGGCAAATTTTCTTCCGATTCCGATATCTGGTCTTTTGGGGTGGTTTTGTGGGAGATTTTCAGTTTTGGCCTCCAGCCATATTATGGATTCAGCAACCAGGAAGTGATTGACATGGTGAGGAAGCGACAGCTCTTGCCGTGCTCTGAAGACTGCCCTCCCAGAGTGTACAGTCTTATGACCGAGTGTTGGAACGAGATTCCTTCCAGGAGACCGAGATTTAAAGATATCCACGTCCGGCTTCGCTCCTGGGAGGGCCTCTCGAGCCATACCAGCTCCACGACGCCTTCTGGGGGAAATGCCACCACGCAGACAACCTCCCTTAGTGCCAGTCCAGTGAGCAATCTCAGTAACCCCAGGTACCCCAATTACATGTTCCCGGGCCAGGGTATTCCGCCACAGGGCCAGATTGCTGGGTTCATTGGCCCGCCCATACCTCAGAACCAGCGCTTTCTCCCCATCAATGGATACCCGATACCTCCTGGATACGCCGCCTTCCCAGCGGCCCACTACCAGCCAGCAGGGCCCCCCAGAGTCATTCAGCACTGCCCTCCACCCAAGAGTCGGTCTCCAAGCAGTGCCAGTGGGTCGACCAGCACTGGCCATGTGACCAGCCTGCCCTCCTCAGGATCCAATCAGGAAGCAAATATCCCTTTACTACCCCACATGTCTATTCCAAACCACCCCGCTGGAATGGGCATCACCGTTTTTGGCAACAAAGCTCAAAAACCCTACAAAGTAGACTCGAAGCAGTCCTCTTTGCTGGGAGACTCCAACATTCATGGGCACACCGAGTCTATGATTTCTGCAGAACTTTAAAATGCACAACTTTTGTAATTGTGGTATACAGGACAATCTCGAAAGCCTTAGAAAAGATTTCTATTCAAATGGAGGGTTTGTTGTGTTGGGTTTTGTTTTGTTTTGTTTTGTTTTGTTATTTTAGTTATGGAAGGTTCTCACTTAGCAGACATTACAACAGGTATCTTCTGTGAAGTTTAACTGTGTCTTAGCACAATGGGTAGACACACCCAGAGCAAAAGCGTTATGGGGTCTCCATTCCAAGTGGCACAGCACTGGTATTGGTATGTACAGTTTTGACGACTTAAAACTGCAAACTGGTAAAGAGGAAAAGAGCCTTGTGATTGATTAATTAATAAAGAAGAAAGAAAGTCAGTGGTGCTCTGTGTATCTGCCCTCAGTCACCCATGACTGGTCTCTCCGTAAAATGTATATATCATGGCATTTGTCTACCTGCTGTCTTTTCTTCAGGACAGATGTTCAGAAATGGTACTGATTCCTTTTAAGACTGTATGCATGTTTATCTAGAAGTGATGTTCAGAATAAATGAGGAAACGTTATCCCAAATTTGAGATCCCATATGGAAGAGCATGAGCCATACAACACATGTCCAGGATCCCAGAAGCCTTCCTCTACCCACTGGGGCTTCTGTGGGGAAGGTGCAGAGTGTGCCTTTTTGTGAACCTCCTCTTCTGGTCAGAAAGGCAGGTTCCACATTTTCCTTTTTTTCACAGTGTGCTCACTCAAGCCCTTGAAATACTACAGGGCCATGGACCAAAAGAAGACCAGATGTGGATGCTGGGATTCATCGCTGGTTGATTAGTTCACTTTGCTGCGTTAGGAGTGAGACCCCAGAGGGAGCAGTCAGGAAAATTATGCCCTCCCCCTCGCCCAGACTGGATCAGCATCCTTGGTGGAAAAAAATAAGGATTCCCGCAAAGACTGCCTCCACAGCCGTGTCCTTGCACTAACACTGAAAAATAGGTGATGGTACAGCAGAGCACACCCGCCCTCCAAGCTCCTGCCTGAGGGCTTGTTCAACTCGGAGGGTCATTTCCCTTCAGTGGACTTGAGAGGCATAGGTAACCCTGTGATACAAAGCCCTAGTTAAAATGTCTTCCACTTTTCTTTCTGTGCTAGAAATGTTCACAGATTTTATTCCAGTTTCAAGAAGTACAATACTATATCTACATAGCATTAGCTGGTATCCAAAGATTATTAATTGTTTTGAAGAGTATTACCATATAATAAAATAAAATCATTATTAACACGTTGCCGCACACTTTTTAGAAGCACATTTGCCATCATTTGTGTTAAGATCTCACCTCAAAGATGACCCAAAATTGAATTGCTGAAACTGGTGATAGAAACAAAGTCATGTTTGCCTTATTCCGGAGGAGGTACCAAATATCTCATGGCATGTACCTGACAGCCATCTTTGGCCAAGTCTAGAGGTCTTACAGTTTCAAGTTCTATGTAGAAAGGATCTCTTGATTTGATTTTCTCTGTTTCAAAAACTATTTCTAAAATCATTGTTTCAAAGTCTCATTTTCAGTTAACTGATAAAAGAGACTTAGAACGTAGAGAATGTGAAGTAATTCCTGGAAAATTACATTTGATGAGGAGAATGTAAGATTTAGAAACCCACTAATGTGTCCGTTTCTTTTACATGTGTAATTAAGATGAGAAATAAAGGAAATACATTTACCAAAATGTGTTTCAATTTCTCTGAATACTGTGTCTGCAAATAACAAATAAGGCTGTATAAGTACTGTGAACTCATAGAACTGATTGTACCCAAATTAATTGAGAGATAAATTCAGACATATTTTTGTGGCATAAATAAGCTGATTCAGAAGATACATTTCTTAACTTTAGGTAGAGGAGAATATTTGTATCCTTTTGTTGCTATGCAACTGTTTAATGATTTAGCTTCAAACCACAATTTTGTATATCATATGACAATCAATTATTTTCCAAGAATATTTATTACTTTAAGTAAACAAAATTTCAGTGAATCTGAACTTTTCTAAGAGTCCCTTAAAGGGAATTTAGCATTCCATGAGCCATTAAAATAGCTACCCTGGAAAAAAACAAAACATTTTCATGGTTAAAAAGATTAATTGAAGTTCACGCTTTATAAAGAACTGCAACATTTATTTTTTAAACATTCTATATTTACAGAAATCATAATGAACAATTAAATTTCTAAACCACTTGTAACGATGTATTTTATACTGGTACTGTGATACTACATAACACAGACCCTTTTGTATTAAAATAGTATTTTTTCCCACCAACTGAAAAACATCTTTTGCTTTGTTGACAATGTTTTGTAAGATGGCTTTATTTTCAAATCTTTTTTCCTTCCTTTTCTTATTTTTGCACAAAACTATGTTTCTGGTTTATATCACAGAAGTGGAAATATATCACTACGTTTTTATATCTGGTTTGTTTCCTTGTTTTCTTTGTTTTAACTTGATAGAAATTAACTTTAAATATATAATGGCAATATTCAAATATCTTGCCCTATCATGTCTTTCTTTATTTTCACCTGCATGCATTTAATCACTGTATTACTTAATGTTTGATTTGTTACTATGGGCATTTCAAATAGATAAGCATGGAATTGTAATATCAAAAGGCTATTTTATATTGAGGATATGTGCATTTGTATTACACACACAAGAGATGATATTAAACACTGATTATTTTATGCTGCTGTTTATTAAAAATGTTTACTGTAAAACATTATTTCTTGAATATTAGTATCATGGACATTTTTGGGAATTTTAATAATATTTTTCCTAATTGAAAGTTACACAGTTGTTCAGGTCTTTCATTTAGAGGGTCACTATGAGTCATCTGTGACTCAATGACACTTAACAACACCACCAACAATAACTGACATATCATAGAGAAATCATAATTCATATCATAATCAATCATAATTACTACTGTTTCACAGAAATTTCTTCTATAATGCTTTTAAAGTAGTTTAAAGTAGCATTCTTTGGCTGAGACCAAAGGGGAAGAAGAAAACCAATGACTTCGTAATCGATATGCATATACATATATATGAAAGATGTTCATTTTTAGAGTGAAAATGATATATTAAATAATCATGTTACAACCTCAGTTTCAGCAAGCAGGTTTCTGTCATCTGCATAATGCAGGTTGTTGATGAATCTTCCTCCAATCCTGATGCCACTCTTCTCATAGAGCACAGCCTCCTGGATAATCTGTTCCACATATAGGTTGAAAAGGTCTGGAGATAGGACACATCCCTGTCGTACACCCTTCCCAATTTTGAACCATGCAGTATTTCCTTGCTCTGTTCTAACGACTGCTTTCTAATCTAAGTATAGGTTTCTCATTAGCATGATCAAGTGTCTGGTATTCCCATTCTCCTCAGAGTCAGCCATAGTTTGTTATGATCTACACAGTCAAATGCCTTTGCATAGTCAATGAAACACAGATATACATTCCTCTGGTACTCCTTGCTTTCAGCCAAGATCCATCTAACATTAGCTACAATATCCCTAGTACCATGATCCCTTCTAAACCCAGCCTGCACTTCTGGCAGTTCTCAATTGATGTGCTATTCCAGTCATTTTTGGATAATCTTCAGCAAAATCTTGCTTGTATGTGATATCAATGATATTGTTTGGTAATTTCCACACTCTGTTGGATCACCTTTCTTTAGAATAGGAACAAATACAGATCTCTTCCAGCCAGTTGGCCAACTGGTTGTCCTCCAGATTTTTGACATAACTTGGTGAGTACATCTAGGGCATGTTAGTTGAAATATGTCAATTGGTATACCACCTATTCCTAGGGTCTTATTTTTTGCTAATGCCTTCAAAACAGCTTGAACTTCTTCCTTCATTACCATAGGCTCTTGCTCATGTGTTGTTTCATTAAATTCTTCTGTGTCTGCCAATTTCTTTCAGTACAATGACTCTATGTACTTTTTCTATCTTTTTTTAATACTTCCTGTATTATTTAATATTCTGCCCAAAGCATCACAACCCTGCTTACTGAAACTGAGGAGGACCTGAAGCGCGTGCTGCAGAAGGTCAAGGACTGCAGTCTTCAATATAGACTGAGGCTCAATATTAAGAAGACAAAGATTCTCACCACTGGGGCAATTGGCAGCATCAGGATGGATGGTGAAGAGATTGAGATTGTTAGTTTGCTTGGCTCCACAGTCAACACTCTTGGCACCAGCAGGTAGGAAATTAAAAGATGTAAGGGGAGCTCTGGTGGCCTAGTGGTAAGGAGCTGCAACTACAATCCCAGAGGCACACGGTTCGAATCCACCAGATGCTCTGCCAGAAAAGGAGGGACAATCTCCTCCTGTACCAGTCAGATCTGATTTGATGGTACACTCACACAAAAATAATTTTAAAAAAATTTAAAAAAGATGTATTGTGATGGGAAAGTCTGTGTTAGGGCCTCTCCAAAGTACTGAAGAGCAATGGTGTCACTCTGGAGACTAAGGTGCACCTGATACAAGTCATAGTCTTTGCAATCATTAGAGAACTAGACAACAACTAGGGAGGATAGAAAATTGATGCCTTTGAACTGTGGTGTTGGAGAAGAGTATTGAATATACGAAAGACTGCTAGAAGAACAAACAAGTTCATCCTAGAGAGGGTGAGACAAGGCTGCTCCTTAGAGGCAAGGATTCTGAAGCTCCATCTGACATACTTTGGACACGTTGCAAGGAGGGGCCAATCCTTGGAGAATGATGTCATGCTTGGGAGGGTGGAGGGACAGCACAGGAGAGGAAGACCCTTTATAAGATGGTTGATTCAGTGACTGGGGTAATTGGGGTAGGTGTGTCAGAGACAGTGAGGTTGGCACAGGATAGAGCAGGGTTTAGAGCTGTTGTACATAGGGTCACTGAGTCGCAGGCGACTTGACGGCACGTAACAACAACTTGTTAACCAATAGAACATAGAGATTGGTTTTAAAGATAGAGTTCTATCCTTTTTCACCTTGTTTTTTCCACATGA